TTACAATAAAACCTGCAACCAGAATAAACTTATCTTCTTATTACTCTTCCTATTCTTGGATAAAGTTTTTGAGATTCTTCAACCAACGTAAGTACTCTTTGCTGTCTTTCTTCATCATGTACTCGTACAAGAAATCCGTTGCGCTTGCTTTTATTCCTCTGTTCTCCAGATACTTGTGGAACGACTTGCGCATATTCTCATCCAACTCTCTGCAAAGGAAAAAAAATGAGAGAACATTTATGGTTCTTCGGTCATGAAAGTTAAAGCAATTCGGTTAAATGTATGGGACTTACTGAAAATCAGGCCCATCATATGCCAAATGTTCTTCGGAAGAACTCTCGGAATGTTTCACAGACAAACCATCAATGACAATCTCACCAGGGGAAGCAGTGCAGCTAAACTCTAGGCCTAGTCCACTCTTCTTGGTCACAGTGACAACTAGCGGAATGCTTGATTCATTCGATTCTTCATTGTCATCTACATCTTCTTCATTTTCATTCATTGCGAGACCAGGCATGCTTACTTCTACCTGAATCTGTTCTCCATTGTATTCCCTAGTCAAGGTTACAGTCCGGTGTCCAGGATTATCTTCGATCTTGAAAGGAAAGTCACCCGAATCTGTTATCTCTTCAACCTGCATTACGAGAAAATTTCGATAACCAAGACTCATATCGGCTTTCTCAATAGCAAAAATCAGGAAACCGAATCAAATTCATCGCAGAAACCAATGCTTTGATTTGATGTGCCTACACCATAAAACTTCAATCCAAATGCTTGTAAAAGTAAAGACATGATCAAATTTCGAAAATTTATGGAACTTACTCAAAACAATTCTGAAAGAAATGTACTAAATTTAGACATATACAATCTAGTGGTAGTGCTAATTTATCAGTGATTTTCCATAGAAGCTTAATGAATTCTATAGCAGAATCAGCCCAAATTTTCAACATTTCATTTGCAGAAATCAAACAAAATCTCTTGTAATCTAATCAACGAAATTGAAAACGAGGGATTGATTACCAGATCGTGTTCATCGGCTTCAAAAGCATCTTTGATTTCGGAATCAATCACTTGGAGAAGCGTCTGATCGGACTTTAACCGCTCAGTGGCCGTCGAATAAAGAGATACACGAGAGACGAAGAAAGGACGAAGCAGAGACGGCTTTGAAACAAGAGACGAGCGGTTAACAACGACGGAGACGGCCTGGGCTCGAGCCACACGACCACATACGGAAGCCAAACTCGAAGCTGACCTACGAATGCACAAAGCGAAAACCATAGCGATTCACAAGAAATGACCTTCTTCTTCTCAGGGTTTTGGGTTTGGCCTTTCCTTAGGGTTTGATCAATGTGTTTGCCAAAACCGGATCCGTAACCGGACTTCCATCCAAACCGGAAATCAAATTGCATAAACCAAAATATCTTTTCAGTAACAATTTTGTTCAATTTCTTGCATATCTTAACAATGTAGCTTTCACTTTGACAGAATTTACATGTCACTTTAACAACTCTATAGAATAAAGAGACTGAAATGTTCTTTAGATTTCAGTAATTTGGTTTACACTTAGTAACCATATATGTTCTATGTGACTCGGATCAACATGACAACCATTATGAACACACAGATCATGGCGAAGATCAGTAGCCACTGGAAGCAACTCGTCTTTGAACTTTCTGAATATATCTTTGAGGCTCTTACGTTTGCATGTCCTGTGCTCGCTAAGCTTTGCTCAATCGCAACCTCGGTAGAGTCGAGTATCTTTTGTTGATGATAATCCACAACAAAAAAAAAATACAAAGATGTTAAGACAAATGAAGCCAGTAAAAACAATATATGAACCAACAATGGAAGGTATAGTGAGGAAAAAGCTTAGGATCTAACCTTCTCTGTATTTTGCACAGATTGACTTATCATTAGACTACTCTCCTTGAGTTGTCTTGCAAGTACCACCATTTCATCGGTGAGATCATCTTGAAGCTTTCTGTCATCAAATAAGATCGACCAATGTGGCATGAAATCGCAAATTCCAGATTTACTCATCACGATAAGTTTTGTTTTCATTATCATAGAACGCACATAATCAGATGAGTTTTAGTTTTTTTCTCAGTGAACAATGAAAGTACCTGTGCTTTTCAATGTTTGCTTTAGCTGCATTGTCTAGTTTTATTGGTTTTGATGGATCAGAATCGTAAATTTGCTCCTTGGAACCTGTAGAACTACCGCAACCAAGGAAGCTGGTAAGAAATTTTTAAAAAATTTTACAAGTTGAGAAGCACGCGAATTAAGTTTTCCACTTACACGATTCTTCTTCTCAGCTGTGGAGAAGTGGGGCTTCGAGTATCGTCTTCTATTTTTGGAGAGCTTTCGCTGGTAGAATCCTTAACAAAAGGTTCATCAGATACCTCTGTGTCAGGCTGTAAATTTGGCAAAAAGTCACTATTTTGGTATTAGTTACACAAGTAAAGCTTAGAACCATGTAAATAAATGGTTCTACCAACAGAACAGATCAAAATGTGCACTAATTTTCTTACTAATCTAGTTAAAAAATGGGGGAAGTGAATAGGAAAGCATCCTACTAGCTAGACTCTTACACATAATGTGTTACTCCTAATTTTCTTAGCTCTAGAATCGAAAAAGAAGAATTTCTTTCTAGTTCAGGTGACTTATTACCTCTTGAGCAGCTATTTTTGAAGCAATAGCTTCAATCTTCTCATAGTACTCATTCACCTTAGCCTTTGTAACTCTGGAAAAGATATCAAAAGAGAAGAGATGAGCGCATTCTCGAAATGGAAAAGCAAATCAAATAGCCACACTCTAATTCACCATATCAACCAAACATATCTCATAAAAATTTAGTCTTTCGCCAAAACATATACCCGGAAACTAGTACAATACCAAGGCAATTCAATTTTGATTCTCTAACCCTTGAACCTAAAACAAGATATAAACTCTCCTCCTCATTCAAATTCCAAAACAGCAATCTTTTAAACTAAATCGTTATCAACTCAGATCTTAATTGCAATGCTGAATCATTTTCAGACAGTAAGTAACCTGGGAAGACCTTCAGGTGTCTTCTCTTCTGAGAGTTGTTCTAATTGTTCCCTCAGAGTAGCAACGTACTGCAAATGTTTACATACATCAACATTACAAAGTTACCACCATTATCTTCGAGGTTATACACACAAGAAAAAAAACAAAAGCAAAAATAGCTTTTTACAGGAAGAACCAAAAGACTCTTACATGCATTAGCTTTGACTGATTTTGCTGATTAGGTGCAGCGGAAAGCAATCTCCGCAAATTGATTTCTGTTTTGCTGATTCCCATCATCAGTTATATATATCTGAAACATAGAAATTTCCACATTCAGATCCAACCAAGAGACCAGTAAAAAAACAAAACAAAAATAGTTCGAGGATCTACGAGAACGAATTCGGCAGTAATCACTTCAATCACAGTTTCGAATCGAATCGAAATTCACGAAATTTCAGTAAGATGAGCTCAGACCTTCTTCAGATCGGAGAAGAAAGTGGTTCAGACAATTCGTCAAACACAACCTTAATCCGTGATTCGCTTTGAGAAGAAGAAGAAGATTTGTTTTTTTCTTTTCTCGCCGAGACCAATCGTGAAACGTCGTCTTTTGTTCGCCAGGAAGAGAAACATATACAGTATTCGGTTATTGGCTTTTGGTTTCGGTTTGATAAGAAAAACCAATCGTCTAAACCGGTGGCTTAATAGTTAATAACCGAAATTTGGTTGATCGATCATCGGTTTTCGATGGATCTCAATTTCTACTTTAAAATGTCTAAACCGGAAATAGTTTTGAATCTTTTATCACATCACTACATTTGGTCTCATTACGTTTGAATTGATCTCTCTGTTAGGCAACACAACTCCTCCATTACAATATATATCTCATCGCCAATGTTCACATCCTTCCCAAGTATCGACAAGTTCTCGAGCCGGCTCCATTGCCCGATCCTCGATTCCCAACCAATGATACTACCCGAGACATGCGCGTTCGCCCTCACGTGGACCCCACGCATCACCGCGCAGCTCGAGAGGCTAACCCCGGACTCAACCACGCAGCCATGGCCAATTGTGACGTCAGGACCAATCAAACATTTTTCTCCAATCTCCGCGGATTCCTCTACAAGAACATTCCCTATAATGTGTGGACCAGTGGCTAACTTATAAGGATAATGCTCTCTCAGAGAGTTTAAGTAGAGACTTAGACCGGTCATGTAACCTCGTGGTTGACCAATGTCCATCCAGAACCCGGGAAGCAACATCGCGTAGAGATTTCTCGATTCTGCGATCTGAGGGAAGATCTCTTTCTCGAGAGAAGTCGGTTTTAGCTCGATGAGATCAAGAACTGATGGATTCAAAAGATAAATCCTAGCAAAGATCTTGTAACCAACACATAGATTCGGCTTTTCGACAAAACTTTCCACTTTCCCGGTGTTTTCTTCCATAGCCACAACTCCATATTTCGACGGCTCATCCACCTAATAATATAAACCAAATACACAATGAGTGAATATGAACCTAAAACTAATTAGAATTCAAGAAAATCTTTCTTTTCTTTTTTTTACCTTTGTCACCATAATGGAGGCTTCTCCTCTACGACAATTGTGCAACCAAATCAGTTCTCCCAGCGGGAATTCGCTCATAACCTCGCTGTTAAGGACAAAGAAGGGCGCGCCAGAATCGTCAACGAGTTTGTCCCTAGCTAAAGCCAAAGAACCAGCAGTACCTAAAGGCTCAGTCTCTTGCGAGCAAGTGATCTTGATCCCAAGCTTTTTCTCATATTCCTTTGAGAAGTTCAACATCACTTGCAGATCCTGAGTGATTTTTTTTTTTTTCAATATGAAAACTATTAAAGTCTCTATTAAAGTATCAGAAAAAGTGTTATTTCAGAGACTAGATTGAGTATTTTTTTTTTTTTTACCTCTCGCTGATAGTTCATGGACAAAATGACTTCATCAACTCCAATTCCTTAAGTGCCTCTAACTGCAAGAAGAACATTTCCCGTCACTTATT